CTGACAGAAAACAAAAGTTTTCAATATTCTTCAAAGAAAGTAGCTTCATTTAAAGTGTCTATTTATTAGTTTGTGGCTTCACCATTTAGAAATTATTTTTGTCAGCATGTTCATGAGTGCTAGTTAAAAAAAAAAAGGATATATCAAGTTTTATGGGGACACGAAGTTTAATTTGGAATGGATTTTCCTTGCAAGAAGTTTTGAGTCTAGTTGAAAAAAAACAAGACATGAAAACACACACATTTGAAATGGGCCAAATGATAAAGACTACAAGAAAAGCCCAGATCAAGTGCTATAGAAATAAGAGAAGGGGATAAGAGATCAAGTAGCATGTGAGTTAGAAGTGGGTGGGTAAGATGCAGCTATGTGGAGACAGATACGGCAAGCAGTACAGCTTTGAGCTCTTATCTATCATATTAAATTGTAACTATTGGTTTACATGTCTATCCCTATGTCACTAGACTCAAAACTCAGAAAGCCAGAACCAGGGCTTATCCCTTTTGTACATCCTCAGCACTTATGACAGTGACAGAAACATAGCACTAATACATACTTGTTGAATGTGGAATGACAAGAATGAAAACTAGTACAACAATGGTAAATCACAGAAGCTTTGGGAGGAGAAAGGGAAGTGATGAGCTCAATTTGCTGAACGACAGTGATGCAAAGAGGAGTTGTGAAAGACAATGTGAAGACTCTGAGCCAGGGACAGCTAGTAGGAGATGGGAAAGGGTTGGGGGCAGGATGTGAAAAAGTTATTATTACTGTTCAGAGATAATGCTCATCTGTAATAAACTCAATGTTGGAGGACTGGAAAGCAAAGGTGATGGAGTGAACCTGTCACCTATAGAACCAACAGGACAAGGCACTGAGGGAAATTAGGTTCAAGGAAGAAGATGAAGGATAACAGGTATTTGCCCCAGCAGCTGAAGAACAGTGTGCCCATTATCAAGTGGAAGAAGCCTACATGCATAGGAGAGGGCTGAGGCATCTGTTTTGACTCTAGTGATGTAGAACGCCCAGTTTTACACAGTTAGCTAAGGGTCCAACTAGTGTTCAAATTCAGATCTTACAACTCCAATGGAGTGAGTGCTAATTTAAGGACACGATAGCCTCCTTATTCTGAAACAACGAATCATTGGTTCCAGTTTGAGATTTTTCTACCAAAATTATTTCACTTTGAAGTAAGTAATACATTGCTGTGTATTAATATCCTCTCCCTTCAGTGATGACGTGATAAAGACTTAACTCCCAGTGTCACTGTGTTTGAAGACAGGACTTTCAGGAGGAACTTAAGTTTAAATGAAGTTGCAAGGGTAGAATCTCAATCTGAAAGAATCAGAAGTCCTTTATTAGTAGGGGAAAGAGATATGGAGGATTGAACTCAGAGGCAGTCAACCACTGAGCCATATCCCCAGCCCTTTTTTTTTTTTTTGTATTTTATTTCAAGACAAGGTCTCACTGAGTTCCTTAGGGCCTCGCTGTTGCTGAGGCTGGCTTTTGCAATCCTCCTGCGTCAGCCTCCCAAGCTGCTAGGATTCTGCCTTGCCCCCATAGCAATATTGTGTTATGGCATCCAGAGTTAAAATATACCTGTTTCTATATAAAGTAGGAAGGAGTTTACCAGCCTTAAGATTGAATTATCACTCCAACCAAAATTGTGCTTTTTCTCTCAAGCAATAAATGTGTTTTTCTTGTGCATTTTCATTTTTGGTTTAAATCTTAATTAACTAAGTTTCCCAGCTAATTAGTGATCAACAGCCTGCACAATTCCTTGAGTACAGCCTGTATTCTGCTGGCCATGGTGAATAACACACAGAAGGCACTCAGCGTCTCTTGTGACTATATGAATGTTGTTCATTTCCCAGCATGAGGTAGGAAGGTGCCAACCCCAAACAGTGCTCTTCAATACCTCTCACCCTCCTTAGAGACCCAAATGACACCAACCTAGAGAATATGTAATTTGTGACTTTTTTCCAAACATATTATATTCATCCTTAGGTTCTTCTCTCATTCAAAATATTTCTTGTGGTCAACCAACATCATGACATAAGCAATATGGAAATGGTTTTATATACTTCAGTAACAAATATGAGATAGATGCTCCATTTTCTAGAACGACTTTAGTTCATTCAGACTCCCCCCAAAAAAGAAAAATCAAGCACCTATAAATCCCCTACAAAAAAAAAATATTAAGCAGTAGAGCAGACCAAAGGAAAATATTTTAGTTTTATTTCTATGCATCAAAGGAGAACTGAGGATTGATATTAATGATTTTATACTATGCTGGGGGAAAAGCTAATATTTCTTCACAGCTTAATGGCACAATTTTACTCTACTTAGTTTTACTTTATTGGCTGACCGAATAATATTGCCAAGTTACACTGATCCACTGTGCATCACATAAGTTACTTCCATCTCATGGCAATACCTGGTATTGATTTTTCCTTCCAGAAACTTGACTTCTGCTCATCTTAGCTTCTTCTCTAGTACTGCCCTAGTGATCAAAACATGGCAAGTCTAGCTTTCCTTTACATTGGAGACACTTGGCACTGAGAGATTACTGAAAAAAAAAAAAGTCTTATTGCAATTGAGGAGAGTGTGAAAATTGAAGAGAGTGTGAAAAGTGTGTGACTGTGACTGCAGAAACTTTCTAAGAGGACATACATGTTGGCTTTAATGCTAATTTTTGCAAGAGAAGATCAAGTAGGAGGCACAATTCACAATGATTTCTCAGACTGTCTAGCTTGATTGTTGTCATAAAGCCCATCTGCATTGCCATTTGTGAATGTTTATCTGGGGTCAGTCCCTATGAGTGGTATTCATGAGGCAGATCAGCAGCAGAGCCCTGTGTTGGGAACTAACAGGCCATTACTGACTCGTTGACTATTCATTTTAGATTGTTTCTATGGAGGATTTATAGAAACAATACCAAGGTGGCACAAGGTGGCTATCAATGCTGTTTACAGACAATTTAGAGGAATAAACCTGCAGTTATGCCCGAGCTAGCTTCCCTTGTGGTCCTGGGGCATAGTGTTCTAATCCTATTGTGACGTGATTGTTTCACCATAAAGTGCTCCACAGAGGCCTGTAATTGGCGTACAGGTTCAAATTAGATTGCTGTGTGTTTAGGAAAGCTAGGGTCATTTCACATCAGCACCTCTCATTAAGAAGCAGGCGAGGAAGTTCTCCATTACAGGAAATCTAATGTATACATTATCTTTTATTATAAAGACCATACTTCGTGTGTGCACTCACTGACACACACACATATATATTACCCATCTTGTCTTTCACCACCATGAAGAGGAAAATAATGTGAAAATGCAAAACACATTTCTGAGAATGGAAATTAAATATTTACCAGCAATGTATCATGGAACTCTGGCTGTAGAGGCTAAAGGGGAGGCAAGAGCAAAAACAATAGATGAAAAAAAAAAAGTCCAACAATTAATTCGGCTTTCTTATTATACTAAGATCATGACATTGTGGTAGTCTGTCTCTGGAAGCCAAGATAAGCATGTGGCATCTGTGTTGTCAACATTAGTGGTAGGGGTGAATTCAAGTAAGGTCTCAGAATGAAGCATACTCTTCCTAGGCTTCTTTTCCAAATACCCGAGTCATGGAACCACTGGTGATCTGAAAGTTTGTGTTCCCCGCAAAAATACATATGTTGAAAACATAATCACCAAGTTGATGATATTAGGAGGTGGAGCCTTGGCAAGATTAGGTCATAAAATGTGATTAATGCCCATACAAAAAGAGAACCCAGAGAGTGCCTATCCCCTTCCACCATGTGAGGACACAAGAGGGCACCATCTATAGATCAGGAAATGGGCCCTCACCAGACACTGAATCTGCTGGTGTCTTGATCTTGGATTTCTCAGTCTCCGGAACTGTGAAAATTTTCTGTTATTTATAAATTCCGTAGCTTATAGTGTTTTGTTACAGCAGTCCAAATAAACTAAGGGGTAGTAAGAGAGATACAGAGGAATATTTTCCACTTTAAAAAAAGAAAGAAAGAAAGAAAGGGATTTACTGTCAGATAGGTGCAAACTATAGAAGAGTATAGACTGACCATGAGGTCAACTAGTGCACACACACACACACACACACACACACACACAAACACAAGAATTTCTCTGGCAATCCCAACATAGCTCCTAGCTGTTGGTCATATTAATGAGTCTCAGAGAGACCAGAGCAAGGTTTCTCTTATGAGCTGAATTGTGCTTCAGCCAAATATTTTAGAATCCCCAGTTCTTCTGAATGTGACCATATTTGGACAGTGTCATCTGAGAGGGAATCAAGTTAAATTAGGTTATTAGGGTGGCTTAGCCTTATAAAAAAGGGTAAATTCGGACACAGAGATAGACAAGCATAGAGAGAAGATGAGGTAACATGACATAGGGAGGATTTGGCCAGCTATATACCAAGGAAAGAGGCTTGGATGTGTGTGTGGGGGGGGGCAGGGGATCCTTCCCTCGGGGTCCTCAGAGAGAACCAACCTTCCTAATACCCTGTTCTTAGACTCCTAATTTCCAGAGCTTCAAGACAATAGATTTCTGTTGTTTCAAAAATATACCTGGAGGACATTAAGTTCAGTGAAACAAGCCAAACACCGAAAGGCAAATACCACATTTTCTCATTTATATGTGGAATCTTAAAGTCAAACTCACAGAAGTAGAGAGTTGTAAGGCAGTTACCAGAGGTGGATAAGTAGAGCTGAGGATGGGAAGACGTTCAAGAGATACAAAGTTTCAATTAGATAGGAGGAATGGTTTTGAAGTTCTATTGCATGTTGTGGTGTCTGTAGTTAAAAAACAATGAATCATGTATTTCAAAATTGCTTAAAGAGTTGATGTTAAATATCCTCACTACAAAAATAGGCATATAACATGATGGATATGATAACTAGCTTGATTTTATTATCGTACAAGTGTAAACATATCAAAACATCACACTGTATTTCAAAAATAAATACAATCATGACTTATCAATTAAATATAGAGTAAATAAATTTATTTCTGCAGTTTAAACTACTCAGGAAGCCCCAGAAAGACTAGAGAATCCCACAGCCAGGGAGTCTGGCTCTCAGGTGATCGATCCCCAGCACCTCCCTCCCAACCTTCCCAATTCCTTAGGATTGCCTTCAGGAGACTCCTTACGATGAACCTCAGGGCTGCAGATGCTCTGCCTTCTACTCAGCATCCTGTGAATTCTTTTCTTCTTTCTTGCTTGTGCACATCAAACAGACATAATTACCCACAGGCAAATGCTTCTGGCCTATAGTCTTCAGGGACCTATGATGTTCAAAGCCTGCTGGGATGAAAGAATCTCCTAAGGTTCTGAAGCATAACCTAAAACCAGCATCCAGTGAGACAATGCCCAGCCTTGTCCACAGTGGCTACAGCCATCAACCAAAGAACTATCTCATATGTGGAGTTTTGATAGTTTCCATAGGTCTTCAATGGTGGCATCACATTCTTTCCAAACACAGCAGCAGCATGGGTGAGCCATCTGTCCCCACAGCAAGTGGGACACAGCAGCTGATGGATTCCTGGTGGGACCAATCCAAGATCCCCCAGTGAATTGCTACATGCTCCCAAACCTTGGAAAGCAGCTCCTCAGCCCACATCAGAGCCAGATGCCTCCTTGCTAAAATACTCTCCACTATAATATCGGGGAAGGACATAAAAAATATGCCTCTTCTCTTAGCAGTGCTCTTAATGACAAATACATCCCAGATGATCTGTACACACTGGTCAGTCATTTCCCTCCCATCCTTTGTCTGAGAGAAACAGTGTCTGCTGGTGAAAAAAGGCATAAATAAGGTATGTGACCTTGAGACTATCAACCTTATCAACCACAAAATGAAAGGAATGTATACCTGAAAATCCAGAGATCCCTTGTCTGATAATTGTATCACTGGTATTTTGAGGGGTTCCTCTTGCCTCTGTGTTTCTCAGGTTTGCAGCCCTTCCCAAAGTACTCCGTGATCAGCCCTGTCTGGCTTCATCAACAGTTTTCTCCAAGGTGAATGTTCATATAGTTCCCTCTAAGTCTCTGTTACAAGTAAAGAGAATGAACACTCTATCCCCCATATGAAACCCTAGCACTTCAGTGGTTTAAGTGGATTCCTTTCACCACCAGAGAGCTCTGTTACGTAATGTACCTATTAGGCTAGGCAGAACTTCATCTGATGATAAATGATAGGTCACAGAAAGTTCATGCCCAATAACAGAAGTAGCACATCAGTATTACCCGGAGCACACACACATGAAAGGATGGAGAAGCCATCAATAACTATGTTTGGTCCTGATAATCATTATTAGCTTAATAATAGTTATTGCTCTCCTCTCTCCTTCTGCTGATTTAGTAAAAGACAACTAATAACAATGAGGGGTCAAATGTACAAACCAAATAATACTCCTCATCCAGACACATAATGCAGTTTCTAATGAGCTAATAAATGCTGTGCGTGTCTGTGTGCGCATGCGCGCATGTGCACGTGCATGTTGGTGGGTAGGTGCTTAACCCAGGAAAATTAACCTTGCTAGGTGGCAGGGGAGTCACCCAACCACTACATTTTCTTTCCTTTCTACTAAATCATAGGCCTACCATCAGCTGTCTTTGAAACTCTGCAGTGTAGCAGGGACCAGCAAAAGAATTCCCCTTCTGGCTGCACTTTGAATCTTCTTAAAACCTAATTCAAAGTATTGTCATTCTTTTTGTAGACACAAGTCTATAAACTCATTCTCCAGACAGAAGTTTTGAAACAAAACATGGGGACTTCTGAGACACGAAGGGCTCCTTAGTAATTAAGATAAAATAAGGATTCCCACACCGGCTCTCTATTAGAGATCTGTGAAACAGTTCGATAACTCACTTCACTGGGCTGAAGCCCATTCGGGCCATCGAGTTGAAAACTGCTGTATTATTATTCTTTGATGTCTACAGCTTAGTAGCACAAAGCTGGTCTCTGAGCACTTACTCTCTATAAAGAAACTCCAAATGTTTGGCCTTTGGGCTGTAAATATTGTGTCACCATTGATTTTTAACATATAAAGTGTATTTTCCTGAATGTCAAGTATTTTCAAAGTGCAGGCCCTCCCAAGAGCACAAAGTGGAAGGAATTAAAGATGCCTTAAAAGCTAGAGCTATAAGCAAGCAGGGAAGAAAGACAAGGTAAGGAGGAAATGAAAGGAAGGGATATATGTGAACAGTATTTCTAGGATTGTGTTCTTTTTCATGGTTTAGTTTAAAATGTTAGATGAAAATATATCTCATTGTCCCTAAAGACATTTTGCCACCAATATTATCAGTTCCATGCCTTACTATACAATTGTATTGTAGAACACTACATTTAGCACTACTATGAAATCTCCTCGTAACTGTTACTTTATTCATTTACAGCTCTTTCAGTACTCTCCATAATAAATAGATGCAAAAAAAAAATCTGTTGAATAAATTGTACCAAATCCTCTACTTCCCCGTCAAATTATATTTCAAAAGCAACTGCTATCAAACATCCTATTCACACTTTCATTAGAATTAGAAAATAAAACTACTAGAAAATAATTGGGAGTGGTTATTCTACACATAAGAAATCTGTCAAATTTCACCTTAATTTCCTGGCCATGGTGTTAAGTACAGTCAGATTTTAGACTAAAAAGTGGTATTTTTTTCTTTTATTTATTTATACTTAGTGTGTGTTTTTAATAAATTAGATGTAAAAGAAATGTCCTGAGCTATGTCTAACACCCCGCCCCCCCACACACACACACTCGATCAGCTTGCTCATTCTTCATCAGCCTCCTGTGTCAAGTCACAATCAGACCATCACAGAGTCCTGACCTCCTAGATGCAAGCTGAGATGTCCCTGAGGACTCAGAGAAGCTGGAGGAGCTATTTTCTTCCCCCGGTCAATCAGGTCCTCACCAGACAGATACAACCCAAGTTAGGAAAAACCTTATTAGATAAAGCATTCCTGACTTGCATCTGCTTATGGGTGAAGCTAAAAGAAATAAAGGTTTGGTCACCTATATTTTTAAACAAAAATATTCCTTTTAAACAAATAGGTCATCAGAAAAACCTCCAAATCCCTCATTGCTTGATAAAATATAAAATTATTCATATCAACATATAAAGCAAACAATTATTCAATTTCAGGAAAGTTTCAAAGGTAAACTGCTAGCTTGAAAGTCCATAGGAAAAAAAAATTACAAAACCAAACCATTGCTGGAACAGACTAGAAGGAAATATAAGGGACTAGATCTTTTTGAGCAAAACTGTGAACTCATGTATGTAAAAGTTTAGGCGTAAACACAAATCATCCCCCAACAACTTCATTCGAGTTACTAATCTCTCATCTTACAAAGCTCTGTTGCCTTATTGGGGGGTTCTGTGGTGACCTTTTATGATTCTTGCAACCCTTTTGCCCCTTTACCTCTTCATGCTTATCCTTTCTCTCCTGCAAGTCCTCCTGGCCTTCACTAATTAACTGGAACCATGCGCTGGTATCTATCCTTTGGCAATTTATTTAGCAATATATATTCATGTTCCTTACTCATGCTCTGTTCTTAAAACCACATCTACTTAAGTCCCCCAGAGGATGCCTTTCAAACTGCTAATAAAAAACTGGTTGAGGATTTTTTGATGCTATATAAAAATGTAAAGGTAATTTTTCTGACTCGGTTCAATATAAACCACCCTGCATTAATTGAGCTCCTCTCATACCTTCAGTTAAATGTCATCCAGGGAAAAACAAAGGTGATCAGCCTTTGCCAAGGAATGGAGAAACTTTAGTCCCTTCTTTACCACAAAGTAACTGCATCACCTTTGGCCCATCATCTCTCTGACCTCGGGAGTCTTTAAATGAAAATAACTAACCTAAATGGACTTTTATGTCTCTACAGTACTTCAAATAATTCCTGTTTTCTCTGACCCTTTGAGACGGTGTGTGTTAATCATACTCTATGCAGGTGAACAAGACAAAACCAGGGGAACTGAGGGATAAAAATGGCAAGGAATATACACCTGTTCATTGTTTAACTACCAAAGGGAAATCTGAAGTTAAACAATAAATAAATTGTTTATGGTTATGGGACTACATAAGAAAGTGAAAATATTTACTTTTACATCTGTTTTATTCAGAAGTTGACCCTTTGCCTACTGGACAAACAGTCTCAAATGTTGATAACAATGGATTGAATTCAAAGGTGTCCTAAGATACTGATAAGGGACAAGCTATTGTTTTAGGACATTTTTAGGTTCTCGTTCTAGTTGCAATAATAAACCCTTTTCTCTCTAAATGGGTATAAAATCAAGTTATAAAACAAATTCTGTTTGCTGTGCATTTGAAAAGAGTAACAGGCTAAATGTGTAGATATGACATGGCAAAGTTAACTATGAAAATAGCCACAGGCTGAGGGTAACAATGAAGTCCTTATGGTGTGACATCCTATTGGTATAATTTTATTTCTTTAATTGCTTCTGCAATACAATAATCATCAAGAATCTACACAGATTGCAGGCTGGACACCTTAAAATTCAATCCCCTTTCAGGAACTTTTAGTCCTTTAGGTCAACAGTTTCTATAGATAGTATATTGTCTACCTCTACCTTTTTGGTCACATTTGATTTTCTGATAATAATATATTCAGGATACCATTTGGGAAGAACGTGCTTCCTGTACTTGATTACCTTGGGCAAAATATTTTAAACACAAACCACTTGCCTATAGCTTTGCTAATTTCATAGTTAATATTAAGAGACAATATTCACTCATTTATCCCTAACTTTGTGCTAAGCATTATTCAAAATCTCATGGCCATTTCTACAACCGAAACAGAAAAAAATTCCTTGGCCTTCTGGCAACTGACATCTCAGTGTTGGGAAGGTAGATAATAAACATAATAAACATAAAAATTATCAAGTGCCATTTAAGAAGTGGCATTCCCTGTGTTAGACTGGTTTTCCTTATGTAGAGGTTCCGTCTTAGTTATGAATGATGCATCTTGCTTCCACAAAACACTCAGATACTGAAATAATTAGTCTCATTTCTGAGGTCTTTCTACAGTTCATGCATCAAACACAGGCCCTTCAGGCAGCTGTGCTTGGGTGTATAGCATGAGATGTAAAGAAATGAGCACAGTCATGCTGACGCTGCCCTGGCTCCCTTACAGATGTAGGATGACAGCAATTGCCCAAGCCATTCTAATTACAAAGTATTTAGTAGTCAGGATCCAGCACACACCTGCCAGTAACTTGAGAGAAGAGCTGCTGCACCAGGATTTTCATCTTACACAGGAACCCAGCTGGAAGCCCAGTTCTGAAGATGCTGGAGGCAGCATAAAAACCACATGCCTTCAGAATTTGATTGGAAGTCCCTGGAATTCTCCCCTTGCATAGGGCAGGTGTTTTGTCATCAGTCAGTCTCATTCCACAGGTTCAGCCACAAGTCTAGAGGATAAGTATACTCCTGCCACAACCTGGAATTGGAAACTTGATTTACAAATCCAAATGCCAGCATATCTCACCTGGACATACACTTGAAGGGTCAAGAATTGTGAATTGTTTCCAAAAACATATAACATTTGGTTTAAGAGTCATACATCATAAAGTACTTTATATAAAAAGTTTGCAATCAAATATCAGATATGTATCTTTAAATGATTCTTCAAATTTAGGGCTGAACACATGAAATTCTAAGTATTAGAGTAAAAATGTAAATTTCTGGACCAGGGTATAACTCAGTGGTAGTGCATTTAGGGAAAGTCATAAGTTCAATTCCCAACACCACAAAAGTAAAATATAAGTTTCATAATGATTTGGAAGATTATTTTTAGATAAAAATTTTGCAAGTATTTTGCTAAGGAGGTAAAATTTTCAAAATCAACATGTCCACTGTTGCTGCTTTTATTTTTACAGATCAAATCTGTAATCACTGGCACTGGATTTTTTGTATGTTACTGTTCTGTAATGCAATCTCCCATTTTAAAAGATCCCAGAAAACAAGAAGAAATCCATAAAATGAATCTGCTTACACACTGTCAGAGCAAATTTAGGAAAAAAGAGTCAAATGCATTTGCTTATTGCACATACCTGCTGTGTTAATCTGATAATAATAGGAGATATAAATAATTAACCGATATCTCATATGCCACTGTGTAGGTGCAAATCAGGAATCTCATTTTGCCTGTGATCAAGTTAATGAAGCAGTCATACAAAACCAAAAATTCATTTTTTCTCTACAACTTGGGAAATGCAAATTCTCAAATGAATCCTATTGAAATTTCACTCTTTTCCTTGAATTTCTACCAACTTGTATTCATACAACTTATCATTTATAAAACATTGCCATGAAAATATTTAAAGTTTTAAGGGTAGGCACTAGAGACAACCTGAAATATTATCAAGCCCA